TGGCGGTGGCACAGGCCAGGGGGGTGGGGAGGGCTTTGTGGGGTCTGGGGGGTCAGGGGCCATAGCCGAGGGGCTGCCGGGTTTGTCCGGGAGCGCGTGCCGAGGGCAGGGTGCTGGGGCTGCGCCAGCATGCAAGGAGCGGGCGTCCCGCTCTGAGCCGGGCGCGGGGGTCCCTGAGGGGCAGCGGGTTGGGGCTGGCCGGGGAGACAGTTTCTGAAGGATGTTGCTGTCGATGTGCTGTTGCTGTAATGGGTACGTTTGTTCTCGCTCCCCCTCTTTCTCCTTGCCGTGGCAGCATTTGGATGTTCGAACGCTCAGATTCGTAAGTCCTTCCTCATGTCTAGCTACTTTCAACATCTGCTTTACGGTGCTGTGTGCTTGTCCGTTGCTTTTGGACTGGGAACAAGTACTTCAGCTCACACCCACCAAAAAGCGCGTGTGCGTGTTTATACTTCAAAAATCAGCTCAGCGGTTTTAAAATGGTGGTTGCTCTGTGCGCCAGGCTGTGGTAGTGCTGGGCATCCAGAGCTCCCAGAAAATGGTAGCCCAGAGGTCCCCGTTCCCCGGATAGCTGCAGGATGCGGGTGCTGAAGGCAGGAGCGGTGTGTGCTCCTCACGCGTGCGGGCTCCTCGCTGTTTCGTCCTCAGCGTTGGGCTTCTCCCCTGTTTGAAACGGTTTGAGACACCAGAGCTGCTTGTAAAAGCCACATTGTGACAGCTGTTACTGGTGTTTTACTGCTTAAAGATTCCCCTTGGGCCTCCCTTAACAGAAACCCCATTCTGTATTTGCAGGGACTCAGCACTGCTTGCTTGTCAGCAATGGCAAAGCCTCAGAGCAAGGATTCTGGACTGAAGGAGAAGTTCAGGAATCTCCTGGGGCTGGGAACATCCCGGGGAAGTTCAAAGTCGTCGGAGGGCAAGCAAACAGAGTTTATCATCACTGCAGAAATACTCAAGGTGTGAGAACTGACCGTAGTAAAGGTGGGGATAGTGCCTGGATTACCTGAGCTGAGAGGATCGGAAGGAGGGCTTGCTCGTTCTCCTTTCTGTTTTGACATTCATTCTCTCTCTGATCCGGCCTTTTTACCTTATCTCTCAATTCATTCTCTAGTGAAATGGATGTAAAACTCACTCACTTTGAAGTTACAGCATTTTAGTTATTCAGTGATTGAATACTTTTGAGATATTTGATGGGATGGTGGTGTCTTATGTCGGGTTACAGGGTGTTTCCTCAAAGTATGCTGCTCTTTTTTTATAGTCTGAGCTTGACGAAGTTTATGTGGTGGCAGTTAGCACAAGCTGGAAACTGTTTCTATTTTATGAAAACCCTACGGGTTTGTGAAAATTAAAAAAAAAAAAAAATGATTCCAGTAATTGGTACAGCAAGTCTGTAAGCAGAATAGTTGGCACACAGGGAGGAAAACACATAAAAGGGAGAAGGAGACCAGACTCCCTTCCTGTCTGTGAAGGGAAGCTCTTACCTGCTGGAAGGCTGGGGAGCCGGACTTAATGTCCCTCCTTTCTCTGCCCTTCTCCCGTGAACTGGGTGAGCATCACAGCCAGTGAGTTACTATTTTCTGAAGAAAATGAGATATTCTGCCCTGGAGGTGAAAAGCTGCTTGGCTCCAGTTTTGTGAAAGTTCTAGTTTTGACGAATCATTTGCTAATGGAAAAATGTTTTTGGAGAAATTCCTGAAAAGCTCCAGTGATGACTAATGGTTAGATCATTTTGGACAAACGTGTGGTTTATTTTTCAGTGGTTCATGATTCTCCTTCGAGAAATGGATAAGTGTTTCTAGTAAGATAAACTGTTAGCTTATTTCTACATTTCTTTCCAGGAACTGAGCATAGAATGTGGATTAAGTAATAGGATACGAGCAATCAGTCAAATTTGTGAAGTGGCAAAAACAAAAAAAATCGAAGAGGTAAGTTTCAAACTGTTCAGTGAATATTGGAAGGGTGAAAATTTAAGCAACAGCTCTTAACCTATCGTAAGAGGCTCCTGTAGTTCAGACTGCCTTTTAAAATTGGTAATCCCAGAAGCTGTTTTGTGCTGTCCAAACCTGTAAAAGGATGGCTCCCATGCCAAGGAAATTAGTCTTGTCCAACCTACCAGCTGTGGAGCAGAGAGGACATAGCTGACGGGCTTCCTGAACTGAATGGAAGGAGAACGCTGCAAATATTCAGGCCTGTTCAGGAAGGTTCATGGGAGGTGATGTTAATCCTGTAGAAGAGGTGTTTGCTAGCTCCTTCTGTCTTGCTAACTAGCAGCCTCAAATTGGTTTTAAACTCATCTTGTATTTGGGTGAAGTTTCCGCACAAATGTTTACGCTGAAGTAAGTGTGTGAATGAAGAACTTCAGTTACTGGGGTGCAAGTTGTCCTGTAGGACGGGATTTGGTGTCTCTCATGTGGTTCATCTGAGTTTATGACCGGGCAGGTGAGAGCGTCCTTCAGAAAAGAGAACTCCGGACGTGAAATCCCTGGAGATCTTGTTAGTTAACTTGCCGTAATTAATGACTGACCTACTGGGTAAAGATCCCAGAAGAAGCTGAACTTTCCTACTACTGCCTGTCTCCCATGTTTGTTTTCAGCATGCAGTGGAGGCAATATGGAAAGTGGTAGCTGATATGCTCCAGCCAGAGCGCCCCGTCGAAGCCAGACATGCTGTTCTTCATCTGCTGAAGTCAATCGTTCAAGGACAGGTGAAAACAAACAAACTGTAGAAGAAACACTACACTTAAACTAGGGTTTGTGCAGAGTATGAACGTGAAAAACATGGGGTGGCTCTTCTCTACAACTTTCCATGTTTCTTATTTTGGTTGTGCCTAGTAAATGGGAAGAGGATGCATTTAAATTTAAGTCTTGGTTTGACTTCGTAGCAAAACTTTTCATACAACTCGTAGAAAACTTTTCTGTTTTGGGGCAACGTTCTTGAAAAAGAGGAAATACTTAGGGTTAAGTTCAGCATAGTACAGCTAATTTTATGTGGTCTTTGCCCAGACCTATTAGTCCTAGTCTGCAGCTCTTTTTGATGTTTCAGCATGTCAGGTATGCAAGAAGTTCTGTATGAGATACTTTTCTAGCCTGGCCAAGTTAAGCATACTATGAATTCTTCAGATTTCACAATGTGCTATACAAATGTAAGACTGTGTCAGACCAAAGTTCTAGTTTGCAGTATTCTGACAAAGTAGGGGTAGATGCTTACGAAAAGAATAGGCATTGATTCTAGTTTGTTGGCTTGTTTTTTTCTAAATGCTCTGCTGTCAGTGCTGTCAGCTGCAGTTTCCATGGATTACTTTGTGTATTGGATGCTGTCTGTGTGTTGCTGGACAAAATGCCTCCAGCCCTGAGTGCTGATATAACAGATTGAGAAGACCTGAGCCATTGTCAGTAGTCAGTAGAGGTTGGAGATAGTTTCAGGAGACTTTCATAGCCCGTAGGAAAAGAAAATAATTTTAAGCATGATGATTACTGTTACAGACCTTGATAAGGTCTAGGCCTTAACTGTCTCTTTTCATTAGTGACACTGTTATTCCCCTCTCCTCCTTTTTTTTTTTTTTTAAAGGGTGAGAGATTAGGGATCCTCAGAGCACATTTTTTTAAGGTTATTAAGGACTATCCCTCCAATGAAGACTTGCATGAACGGCTTGAAGTGTTCAAGGCTCTAACGGAGAATGGACGATACATCACCTACTTAGAAGAAGAGTTAGGTGAGTATTGTCTCTACCCCTCTTCAATTTGGTGGGAATAAGTCAAGGGACAGGCATTCAGTGATACGAGAAAAAGGTAGTGATAACACTTCTGGGTAGAAAGCATATTGTAACGATTTGTTTTCCTTCTTAAGCTGACTTTGTACTACAGTGGATGGATGTTGGTTTGTCTTCCGAGTTCCTTCTGGTTTTAGTGAACCTGGTGAAATTCAATAGCTGCTATCTGGAAGACTATGTAGCTGACATGGTCCAGTAAGTTGGGTTTTTTTTTTTAACTCCTACATGCTTATTCGTGGTAAATTACAGAAGAAAGTTGCAGATCAATATACAGATAAGTGGAATGTTTTTTATCCGATCTGGATCTGTTTCATTCCAGGTCATACCTGACATTTCTGACAAATGTTTGATTTTCAGTTCTTACGATGTTCAGATCTGTTTTAGTTTAACTGCATGTGCTTTCCCCATTTTATGTGATGGACCTGATTGCATTGCTCATTCTCACAAAGGGTCTCTGCTATCATATTAGTGTAGGCACACTGAGTTGCATTTAAGTGCAACTTTAAGCTAACTTTATAAAAGAGGTTGTAGTGTTCAGTGTCTCTAGGAGTGTTTATCAACAATGCCACAGTAAGGGCAATGATGAGTAAAATAACATGCCAATTTACTTGTCTGTTTTGGCTCTTTGTAATTTGCCTAAAATCATATTAAGCAAACAATTGTAATTAAATATTCTTTCCTAACAGCAAGATATGCCTCTTGTGCATTCAGACTTCATCATCTGTGGACATTGAGGTCAGTAATTTGAGTCTCTCTTAGTACTTTAGAGTTCTTAGAAATTCTTTGAAAGTGTAACTTTTACAAGCAAAATCCCCTCATCAGACTCTCCTCCCAGTTTATTCTCATCTTACAAGAGAGCTAATACAATGTTACGAAGTATTTGTAAGCCATTGCGTCTCGTACACCAATAATCATTTTATTCTAAAACAAGCAGAGCATTGATAAATTTGATAAGTGAATCAATTTTTCAGCAGTGCTTTTTACGGTTTACTTTCCATCTTGCAATGATTTAAAAAAACCCAAACAAACCAAAAAACATATCTGTATGCCTTTGGACTTCCAGAAGACTTCCTGGTCTGCCAGGTTAGGATTTGACCTGCTTTATTCGTAGAGAAATACATAACCATTTTGTCTTTCTCTTCCCCAAAGATTTCCTTGCAAGTCCTAGATGCAGTTGTTTGCTATAACTGTCTGCCATCGGAGAACCTGCCAGTATTTATCATCACTTTGTGCCGTACCATCAATGTGAAGGAGCTCTGCGAGCCGTGCTGGAAGGTCAGAACTTGCGTAGTTTTGGTTTTTTAATGAGTTCACTGTTTTGGCCTCATAGATGAAGTGTCAGATGTGCCTGTGCACATCTGCCATAAATTTCAGTTTGGTTTTAAGAGTAAATTAAAAAATTGTTTCAAGTATTAAGGGATCAGCACATTGTTAGTGTAAGTCCTGTCATGTCCATGGAATTTACCCATAGTTTCCTCTCGGGTGATGTGACAGGCTTCTGTTGTGGCATGGAAATGGCTGGACACATTTACTTACCATAAGTGGGCATGATCGGCCAGCTAACTGCATATTTAGGCTAATGAGTGTTTTAACAATTGGATATTTAAGTGTTCTCTTTGAATTTGCAGCTTATGCGCAACCTTTTGGGAACTCATTTGGGACACAGTGCCATCTACAACATGTGCAGGATCATGGAAGACAGGTAAAGAAGGTGTATCTAACAAAACCCAAGGAATTCAGTAGAGGTCCCGCTGAGATAGATAGGGAGTCACTGACCTCAGTAGCACAAGCTGAAGGTTCTGGTGCTTAGAAATGAATTCCCTTCCTAGTTACGCTGCTGAAGTGCTCATTTTTTGGCTTTACTGAATTTAATTTTCCTTTGTTTAAAGTTGTACTAAACGATTTTCTGTTTTTAATGTTTGTAAATCGCTGTGCAAGGCTCTGATGTATAACAGCTGGGAAGTCCTGTTGTGACAGTGTATATTCCTATTGACTCTTGTATGCTAAAATAATTGTAGCATGGTCTAAGACTTTCCTTCCATCTGTTTTTAGAGCTTACATGGCGGATGCAGCACTGCTGAGAGGAGCTGTGTTCTTTGTTGGGATGGCTCTATGGGGTGCTCATCGCCTCAATTCACTCAAGAATTCCCCAACTTCAGTGCTGCCTTCGTTCCTCAAGGTAGGATGGGATGCTGGAGGAACTTTTTAATCAGGTATACATCTGGACCTGTGCAAATGTAGACCAAAAATGTGGTCCCCTACACCAAAGAGATCTTTGTAGGCCTGAAAGACGAGAGACAGCAATTGGGTATGGGCTGAAGCATGGGGAAACAGTAAAACAACAGAGGATTTAAGTTTGAAACTGAGGCTTCCTTCTGGAATATCTTTGTTGTCCAGAAAAGCAAAGTCTGAATTCTTTTTATCAAATATCTACATTGTGGGTGCTTTAGCTTAAAAAATAAAAACAAAGCAAAAACTTTCACTCTTTCCAGAAAAACAAAGCAAAAACTTTCACTCTTGCCAGTGTGTGGTACAAAAAGTGAGGGACGATGTCTTCAGGGACAGCCTCAGAGCTCCCTTAAAATTTTCTCATCCAAGTGCATCAAGCAGGAATTACTAGCTTTAACCTCATGTGTCTGCTCTGTAAGATGGGACTGTATTTGACATCGGACGTACAGCTGTTTGCAAGAGTGCATAACTGCACTTTATAAAATGGTTCTTTGCTTTGCCCTTTGTGGGTGTAGACTTGAATATATTTATCTCAGACCTTCAGGCTAAGTTCCTAATTAGTTAGGTGTGTTTCATTTGGATTTAAGAGGGTTTCTGATCACTGCTTTCCAACTGTTAACTCACTGAAATGCTTTGTATTCCAGGCCATGACATGTCCCAATGCAGTTGTGTCTTATGAGATAGTTCTGTCCATAACACGTCTAATAAAGAAGTATGGGAAGGAGCTGCAAGCTGTAACGTGGGATATCCTTTTGGACATCATGGAGCGATTACTGCAACAGCTGCAGGTAAGTGTTGAGCCTGTCTTGATGTGCTTTCAATCAAAAGACCTTGCCATAAATATTTTTGCAAATTGATCTCCTGTTTGTACACTCCAGTGAACTTTGAAGCTGAATGAAGGTTTAGCCCAATTCTCAATACTGTGTTTCTCAACCGAGTTTTCTGTTTGTATTTAAAAGTTAGCGCTTTCTGGTGAGGTAGAAGTCTTTTAGGAATGTTTTTGTCTCCGTTTCAGAGTCTGGAGAGCCAAGAACTTAAGTCCATTGTACATGATCTTTTGACTACAGTAGAAGAACTCTGTGACCAGAATGAATTCCATGGCTCTGAAGAGAGATTTTTTGAGCTGGTGGAAAGATGTGCTGATCAGAGACCGGTAAGACTTCACTTACGATTGTCTTCCTTTGTGGCCAGTTGAATCCATTTTGTTACTCAGTACAGTTGACAGTTGGGAGTCCTAAAATAGCAAGTGGTCAGAAAGTCACAGCAAGGACTTATATGAGCTTTATTCTCGGGGTGGGGGTTGGGGGAATGGATATATTGTATTTGCTTATACACTAAAAGAAAAATTCTTGATCTTTCCGTGAAAGGAATCTTCTGTATTAAACTTGATAACATACAGAGCTCAGTCCATTCATCCTGCCAAAGATGGCTGGATTCACAACCTGCAGATGTTAATGGAGAGATTCTTCAGGTATGAAGTCATAACTTTGTGAATACAAGGCACTTTCAAATGTTCCTTGCCACCTTTTCATGTTAGATAATTTTGTTTTCTGAAGTTCTAATGTTAGTAAATGACTGCTAAGAAGTATGGTAGTTCCAGGGCACAGTACGTGAAAGGATATTGTTTAGCAGAAGAAAAACTTTCCACTGAGTTATTTATATTTCTTTTTTTTTTTTCTTCTTTATTTCCATTGGATGGTGCTATTCCAATTAGTTTAGGCAGTTATGTGTTCCACTCCACAGCTCTTTGTAGTTCTGACACCAAACAAGACTTTCCTCTTAAGCGTCAGGATTGCATATGGTTATCCAGTATTAAGTTATCTGTTTTTGAATTGGTACTCCTGAAAGTATTCTTGTACTCTAAAATACCAACATACAGCAATAACAAACTTCTGTCTCATCTGTGAAATGCTGCCAAAGAGTGGCTCTTACTCGGTGCCATATGTTTGGTTTTAAATTTGCTCACCAGAGCACTTGTTCTTCTGACATGTGCTTCCTAGTTTGGATTGGAAATGGGAAAAGTGCAGTTACAGGTCTCCAGAAGTAGTAAAAGCTGAATTGGGATTCCAGTTTCCAATTGTTCTTGCATCTAGTTTCATATGTAGAGACATTAATTGAAGGCTCTGCTGATTCCTAGAGTTACTGTTCTAACTCTTAAGAAGTTTCTTAGTTTAGTTTAGTTTTACTTTCCTTTTCTCCTCTCCCCCCTTCCCTAAATATCAGTAACTTTATTTTATTCATCTTGAATTTGCTCTTCCCATTTTAGGAACGAAAGTCGTAGTGCTGTTCGTATTAAAGTTCTGGATGTCTTGTCCTTTGTCCTGAGTATTAACAGACAGTTCTATGAGGTGTGTGTTTATCTGTTTCTGATCATCACATGTGAGATCTTAAGTGGGTGGGAAAGGCTTTGGTGAGGCATGTTTTATGGTGTGCTTCAGGTCGTCTCTGCCACTGGGGAATGCACAGAACTCTGCTTTAGATGTTGCACACAATAGATATGTATCTTTAGGGTGCTTGTAGGAGGACTTGCCTTTTAATTGTCCTTAGTTGGATACAGGTATGTGCAACTTGCAGTGGGAGCTGCTGTGTTTTGAGGACATAACTGGTTGTGTATTTGCTTCCCTGTTTTAAGGTCACTAAATCTATATACATTTTGTTTTGGAAGAAAGGAAAATCAACGTGAGAGATGCAGAGTTTATTTAAAAGCTTTGTAAAAAGATGAGGTCTGGATATAATCTGATGTGAGCAGATTGACTTGTCTTGGTGCTTGCAGTTTAATTGCAATCCAAGATGGAAGCTGTCTGAGAGAGGAGTTACGGAAGAGCTCTGGGGATGTCTTCAGCTCCTTGGAATGTACCCAGAGTGTCAGAGGACAGGAAGGGGCAGAGATGCTTCTTGGATTCCTTCAAGATCTGTGAAAACATGATGCTGTTGCATGTTTCCTGTCCCTCTCAAAAAACCAAGCCCTAGAAATCCCTTGTCAACAGTCTGTTTGAGCCTGGGCTATCAAGTCTGTAGGATAGGCGAAAACCAAAGCATTGAATCCAAGTTCAACAAAAGTCATAAATATTTGGAGGGATGGCATACAGAAATACTTAAATGGATGGAAGAGAAAAGACCGAGGAACCAAACAGTTAGTTGAGGAACAAGCCTGATATCAGAATATCAGTGTTCTTTTGTTTGTAATTATTTGTCTCTTCAACATGCTGATTGAACAACCGACAGCAAAATGTCAAGGCTTATTAAGGTCTGTCCTCTTGCAGGAAGAGCTGATAAACTTGGTTGTGATCTCTCAGCTGGCTCACATTCCAGAGGATAAAGACCATCAAGTCCGAAAACTGGCCACTCAGCTACTCGTAGATCTGGCTGAAGGCTGCAACACACATCACTTTAACAGCTTGCTTGATATCATAGAAAAGGTGAGGCAGAGTTTGGTCAATTGTCAGTAGCACCACCACAGCTTTTGCCAGATCCTCTTACTGTGGCTGCGGAGACTGACCCATGACTGTTATCACTTGCATGGGTCAGCAGGCTATTGTAAAATTGCTGGGTTTTGGAGGATGTGAGCCTGAAGTGCAGAGCGGAAGGGAGCTTTAGAAACCCTACCAACGCACAGCTTGCAGAATTTCTTGCAAGGATGACTTGCTGTAGTCTTTCTTGACCTTCCAGGATGGAAATAAAGAAAAGGTGTGTTGCAGATTTAAACCATGTATTGCTTTTATTTTTAAAAGGTGGCTGCACATTCTCTCTCATCTCCTTCTGAACTGGAAGAGAGGGACTTGCTATCTTACTCAGCTTCTTTGGAGGATGTCAAGACAGCAGTTCTTGGACTCCTGATAATTCTTCAGGTAAATACTGCAGAGCATTAAATGCGTCTTCTTCAGAATAGTCTTCTGCTGGACTTGGCTTTTTAGATTACCATTCTCCCACTACTAAATATTCCGACTTTTGTCCATTTAATATTTTAACTCTTGTTTTGGTCATTCTTTTTGCTTTTGGGTACTGTATAACTGTTTGCTAAAGGTTTATTTTCTTAATTTCCATTGTACAATGAATGTGAACACATTTTCATGTGTGGAGGGCAGATGTGTTCATAAACTAGCAGAAGGGGAGTGTTCATAACCTTGAATAGATCCATCGTGTTTGGGTAGGGTGTCCTGAGAGATGGTTAAGCGGTTGCGAAGAGCTGGTTGTTCCAACCACTGCCCTTCTGGAGCCAGCCAGAGTTGCTCTGGAGCCTTTGCAGCGGTTCTGTCCAGAGCCATCTATTTACCTTGCTTTCAGGAGCAAGTTTTTGCTGTGGTTTTTCTTGAATTCTCAGTGCAGATACACATTTCTGAATAACAAGTGTCAGTCTGCCTTTTGATTTCTGTTTCTGTTCCTCTGTAGACAAAACTCTACAGCTTACCCTCCAGCCATGCAATGCGGGTGTACGAGATGCTGATTCACCACGTCCAACGCCATTATATATATGCGTACAGCCTTGCTGTTGCTAGCAGCATCAGACTGCAGGTATGAGCAGTAACCTATGCTTTCAGGTCGAGAGCTGCATGCTGTCTTTGGAATTCTTGAGTGGCAAGTGGGGAATGTGTGCTCTAGAGCTTGCCGGAAGTAGAATTAAATGTTTCTTGGCTAATAGGAGTATGTATATGTACTGTAACACGAGAAGTGATGCCTCCTACAGACCTAGCCACAGCATCTATTAGAAATCCCTTTGTACTTGCAAAAGTATCGCATGGGGAGGTGGGAGAGTATTCCACTGGCTTGGGTTTTGAGTGATTCCAGTGTCTTCTCTGTTTCAGGGGTTTGAGTTCCTGCTGATGCTTCGAGCTGACTCCCTGCACCGTCTTGGCCTTTCCAACAAGGATGGAGCAGTGAGGTTCAGCCCTTACTGTCTATGTGATTTTGTGTAGGTTTCTCATTGCATTAAGCAAAAGCTGTTTTGGTATTTTGCACGAGCTTAATGGTCCATCAGTAGCAATCTGCAGTTTTTCTAAATCTTCCGAATCCTGATGAATCAGCTGCTAGACAAGTCTGTAGTTACAGCCTAGGATTGTCTCAACTAATAACTCATTGGTGAATTGTTCTTACAAATCACTTACCTACAGAGCTCTCAATCTCAGACTTGAAATTTCTGTTCCCACTCACAAAACTTAACAAAAATATTGTCAGTTTCCTGCCTGAAACCAATTTTCACATTGAGGTTTGATTCAATGATTTGTACAAATCTGGCTATTTTTAATTTTATAGCTTGGTCTGAAGTTCTTTGTGTAACGTGCCCCAAAAGATATCTTTCTAAATTTGCTAGGGGCCTGGATAGAAAAATCCTTAACCTGACCAAACTGACTCATTGCTGTCCATCTACTGGGCAATCCTGTGTTTTTTAATAGAAAATGCAATTTATATTGTTGTTTGGTCATGAAACTGGCTACCAAATAGGGCAGCACCGTTGGTCACACGAATAGGCTGTTCTGATCTTGATTTTACATTACATGTATTTTTCTCCCTTTCCATGTTGTAGAGAAGCAGAGAAGAGGGCTTCTGAGAAAAAGCCTACCGGTACGCTCTCTCCGCCTTCAGGAAGTCCCAGCGTGCCTTCCCAGAACGCCACCATTCGTATAGGGCATCTGCCATACTCAATGGTCTTTGGCGTCCTTCTGCAGTGTTTGAAGCAAGTACGTCTGCTCTTAATGACAGTTGTCATCTTCACGTGACACATGTCAGCTTAAACCGGCTGGCTAGAGAATTCTATCCCAGAGTATCTAAATGACGTCTGAAAAGCAGTACGTAAATCCTCCTTCTTGGGCAGAATCTGCGTGTAACTGTGCAGCTTTACAACCACCAGTGGGAGCACCAGTTCAGCTCTTCGGAAACTAAGCCAAGCTTTCATTTCACTGCTTCAGAGCAGACAAGGGCGAAAAATGTGTTTGTTAAACAAAGATCAGATAAGTCATCCTGTTTCTGAAAGGGCATTTGAAACTAAAAGAAACCCTCCTACTGCAAGTTTTTTAAGTATTTTGAGAATTGATAAATGTTTCAGTCGCTAATAAACTAAATATAAATTGTTCATTAGTGTTGTAGTGGACATAGTTATGTGCTGAGGGGTTGTCTTGCTCTGGAAGTTAATTTGAGCTAGTGGTTAGGAGAAGTGAATTCTGGCTCTGTCTTTTTGAGCTCAGTCAGATCTGGATACAAGTTGTCTTGCAGTTTGTGGTGCCAATATTGCACCTAGAGCTGGATGACAGACAGGAAGTCACTTGTGACAGCTAAACGCCACTTCTTTTTATGTAGCTACCACGGCAAGACATAAATCTGCCTAGGCAGTGGCACGCTGTCTGAAACTTGATTAGTCTTACTTTCGAACTGAAATCATACAAAAATTTTCCACCTTAACTTTTTCTTTCTTTCCAGGAGACAGACTGGAAGGTGTTGAAGTTGGTCCTCAACAAATTACCTGAATCTCTCCGCTATAAAGTGCTATTTTTAACCTCTCCTTGTAACATAGACCTCCTGGCCTCTGCACTGAGCTACATGGTAATGCCATGCACCCTACTGATGTATAATCATCAGATCCTTAGTTTGCTTGAGAGTTGATTGGGGGCTTTCTTTGAGGGTGGTTTTTTTTTTTTTTTCCCCTTCAGTCTAGCGTTTTGAAGATTAGCATGCTGGTTGTCAATCCTCACTCACGTTCCCTTTTTGTGAGGGTTGTTTTAGGTACAAAAGTAGGTAATAATGAGTGTTCTTTCTCTATGTATGTATACATGTGAAAAGGGAGCTATGGGCAGTGCCTGTCTACTGCCTTTTAGAGAGTATTTTTAGCGTGAGGTGTTCTAACTTACTGTGTGATGTATCAGCTCACAGACAAAAAGACTACCGACAGGCTCCATGGTACCCCAGAAGGCTTTTCTCGCACTGATCTGCATCTGGCTGTAGTTCCAGTACTGACGGCATTAATATCTTATCATAATTATCTGGACAAAGCTAAACAGGTATGGGGAAAGTAAGAGAATGTGGGGGGATGGGGCCTGAGCCTGTATAGTAGAGCATTTTCTCATACTGGCTGATTAGGAGACTTAAGTGCGAGGTAACGCTGCCCTTTTCTGCTATAAAAAGCTGCATCTGCTGTATTTGGGGTGAAAAAATACTTTGCTAACTTTGTGCAGCAGTAACTGTCCGGTCAGTTGGATTCAGTGTTCTCCATCCATACCTGTCCCCCCCCCTTGCAGGTCGCTGAGTGACTTTACCCTCTGCTGGAAGACCCTGATAAACATAAAAATTCCGTTTGATCAGAAACTTAAATAATAATTTCTAAAATGTCTACTTGATTAAAGTCCCATCTTAAAATTTTGGCCTAAATGCATGCAACATTAATTAGGGTTCTGTGTTAGTGCATTTTGGATAAGAATTCATGTGCATCATACAGGCCTTGCAGCAGCGATACCTTGCAAGCCATTCTGAAATGCTAGCTGAAGTCAGGCGGTGGTACATCAGAGATTTTATCTTTTTTTTTTTTATTATGACTGTTTTTTCTTTTTTTACTCTTCTAGCGTGAAATAGTGTATTGCCTGGAACATGGTCTTATTTATCGCTGTGCAAACCAGTGCGTTGTGGCACTCTCTGTCTGTAGTGTCGAGATGCCCGACATCATCATAAAGGCACTTCCTGTCTTAATAGTCAAATTAACCCACATTTCCGCTACAGCCAATATGGCAATCCCTCTGTTAGAATTTCTTTCAAGTAAGTTGTAATGTTCTTCTACGTTTGATCTTCCATAGTTGTAAATGTATTGTTTGCACTGAATATTTTGGTTGTTAGTGATATGGAGTGCATTGTAAGGGTTTCTTGTTTTTTTGGTGATGCCCTTGCACCATCCTCAAGATACAAATGTTTGATCGTCTCGTTTGTTACTGTTTTTGTATTTAAAGTGCTTGCACACACTGAAGAAAGAGACATGCTTTGTGTAGTGCAGCCGTACAGTGATGGGAAATACGAAGCTGCTTTCTCCACCTTGCTGCTTATAACTTAAATGGCATGAAATTATACCATGATGTTAACTTCCATGTCAGCTGATGATTTGGAAGAAGCAAAACAATTCAAATTAAACTGAACGGTGATATTGAATAGTTTGAGTTCAGACCTCACCTGTGTTGGTTTTCTTCTTGAACTGTTCTAGCTCTAGCAAGGCTGCCGCACCTCTACAGGAACTTTGCAGCAGAGCAGTATGCCAGCGTGTTCGCCATCTCCCTACCGTACACAAACCCTTCCAAGTAAGTGTGTAGCAAATGTGCTTCTCCCTCATCTGTAAAATTAAGAGAATGAGACATGCTTTTTTTGTAGTACTTGGGTCAAGGTTATTCATAGGATATTGCTCGTTCTGGTATCTCCAGGCTTTTTCTGAAGAAGGGACATATTCACCCTTGACAAAATATCTGTTTTTCTGGAACAGAACTTTTGAGGTTTTTTTCTTTATACTTACCAGTAGATAAAGGAACAGGTCTGTTCCTCAGATTGAAAAGTCCTTCTGTTCAGTTCTGGAATGACATCATAATGCAGCATTAAACTCTGCGGAGATCCTTTTGCTGTTTTAGGTTTAACCAGTACATCGTTTGCCTGGCCCATCACGTGATAGCTATGTGGTTCATTCGGTGTCGCCTTCCCTTCCGAAAGGACTTTGTCCCCTATATTACAAAGGTAATGGACGCTACTGAATCAAACAGTACATAATAAAAATGACTTAAAAACCGGTTTGAGGAGTTTAAAGGTTCTGTTTGAAGCTAGAAAAATTCTCCTTTTCTTGTCAATATCTTTCTCGAAACTGACTGTGAATTCTTGTGCGTTGTGCCGTGATTGCAGTCTTCCAGCTGCATGTCCTAGCCATTCAACCTGTTATCTGTTTGTCTCAATCGGCAGGGTTTGCGCTCGAATGTCCTCCTTTCCTTTGATGACACGCCTGAGAAGGACAGTTTCAGGGCTCGCAGTACAAGCCTGAATGAGAGGCCAAAAAGGTAAATTATATTTGACTCCAGCAGGGTCTTGTGTTCCCTGTTCTAGTGCTCACACCCTTCCCTGTGTTTTTCTGAAGGAGGCTCTAGTTATTCAAAATCTGACAGTGCATTTAAGCAAGCAAAGTAAACCTCTTTAGGTCAGGGGATTGGTAAAAGACAAACTTAGGTTGTTAAGAAGCTGGAATCAAACCAAGCTGACAGTCTCATAGTACATATGAGGGCACCACTTGGCTGTTCTGTAAGCCTTTGCAGTAAGGTGTGGGGCTTTCTGTTGTTAATTTTTGAAAATCAGCAGTTCTTTCAGGTTGATGTGTGTCAGTACAATGCTACCAGAAGTAATAGAGAAGGATAATACCAGAAGTAATAGAATACCATCTTCATATTGATAGCGTTAACTCCTTTTGATAATTGATCTGTAACGACTATTTAAATGATTGCCAGAAAAATTTTTGTGATTAGCAACCTGTATAAATTGAGAGAGCTAATGCTGTGTTTTTCCATAGTGTTATCTGTCAAGTCAGTGTAGACTGGGCGGCAGACAGCTGCCTTCTGTGTATCTGGATGGCCTGATCCTTTTTTTGACTCTTGAAGCCATTATGTCAGTTTTAAGCAAAGCCTAATGTCTTTAGAAGTCAGACCGTATCTTGCCAACAGTCTTTCAAAGTAACGTTTGCTGGGATAGGAAAATACTCCTTGGAAGGCTTTCAGGGTTTCTCTAACATCCTTTTACCTGCAGGGCTTACCTAAATTGGTTCACTTAACTTGCTTCAGTGTTGATGTGCAGTAAGCATACAGTGGCATATGAACCCTGGGGAAAGTGCCTCTACTTTAACTGCAAGGCTCAATGAGTATCTTGCAATGAAGAAACACCATCCCTGCCCTAATGCTATAGCTGTAAACCCTGTTTTGTGTTTCATCTCTCCCATCTCCTCCTCTTTCATTCAGAAACTTGGAAGAGAAGCCTTTTGCCACTCGTCTCTCAAATTAGAATTTCAACTAATCTTTTTTTCCAAAAACCTGTTAAATTCTACCAGGTTGGAATACTACTGTATCTAAAGGCTTTTGCTAAGGCTGCTGGATCACTTTCCACAGAAATCTCTGCTAAGGAGTGGGGGCTGTACTCGGGCAGCAACCCGAAACACCAGAGTGGCAGGATGCCACTGCCTCCGAGTCTGTCTGGGCTTGGACTCTGGCCAAGTGAGAGAGGAAATAGCTTCGAGCAGATATCTGTGTCCTTGCTTGAGAAGCTTGCGTGCTTGGTTTTCACTCCTTAAGACCAAAGAATAAGCATTTCTGTGCCCTAGCTGAGATGCTGGGTGCTCCAAGAGATCAAGATCCCAATGGTTCCCAAGGCTGCTGAACGGCATGATGTTGGTGTAGGCGATTATCTCAGAGTATGGGCCTGTGCTCTCTGCAGTCACACCTCCAGTTGTGGCCAAAAGTGATCTGTCAGAGGTTGTTGGGAGGAGAAAGACAAATAAATTCTGATCCCTCCAGGTGGCTATCTGAAATGTAGTAATTCACTGAAAGGAGGATAGCAAATAAATCATGTTTAGAAGGAGCCGGAAGGGTTAAATTAGTATCTGCATTTTATATATGGGGATGTGAACTGCTGGACCAACTGTTAGGTCCAAATTAGTACTGAGCCAGGCATGCATCTCAGCTGTGACTCTCTGAAGTGCCTCTTAGATGTTAATTGCTGTCATCTCCCACATGTGGTTGGCACCTGGCAGTGTAAAGGCTTATTTTCCTTTCTGTTCCAGTTGAAAGTGGGTTACCTCGAGCCACCAGAAATAAGATAGCTTGTTTGACAGAAAAGCATCACTCAGTCAGCAGCAGCCAAGAGGATGTTTGTCTTCTTGCCCTTCCGTCTGTGCAGTGTGAGAAGGATCAGTCTCGTATAGATGGGCTGAGTCTCCCCCCGTGTCTCGAGCTGAGCTAAGCGGCACCTCTGACTGGCCCTGGGTGTTTTTGTGATTCAGGGTAGAAGCTCAGATTTGGGCCAGGCCTAACAGAGGTAGAGACGGCTGATATATTCCTGTGTCTCTTAGGAAAATGTGCTGCTACCTGGTGTTGGTAAAGCATTTTAGGATCTGGTCCCTGTGGAAGTAGTCAGGTTTTTAGCTGTACTGAAGGGGTGAGCTGGGGCAACACAAGAGGTGGCTGAACTGCACAAAACTTCTCAGACTTGAGAAATTTGTGCCAAATTAGCATTCAGGTGCTCTTGCCTTTGCTTATCAGCGCAGTATTCCAACTATATCATTCCAATCAGTTTTTTTGTTTTAACTTGTACTAATTTCATTTGTTTTGTAGCACATTTAAAATCTTGTTTTCAAAATGTGGTTTGTCTTTTTAATGCTTTCAGCTCTGCTTGTTAGTACGTTTTAATTTTTGTTTTCCTTTTTTGGCATTTGTTTTATTTTACATCACCCTCCGGGATCCCCCAATATTGACCCTGTGACCTGTGACCTTTCAACCTACATCCCTACAATGATTTCCTCCCTTCCTGTGACCTCTTTTGGGGCTTGGTGCTTCTCCACCTAGTAGTTTAAGACTAGCCAAAAATGCAAAGCAAGGCTTGAATAACTCTCCTCCAGTGAAAGAGCTGAAAGAATCCTCTGCAGTTGATGCCTTCCGATCCCGCAGCATCAGTGTGTCTGAACATGTGGTCCGCAGGTAGAGGCACTTTAAATGGGGAGAATCCAAGAGCAACTCAGCACTTGGAAATTTTACTCGCAAGGGTGGGTGGAAGCAGGGTGGATTTGCATGTGGGATGCTTGCATGACTTTGTTACGCAATAGAAGACTGGCCGTAGCCACAGTCAAAGGTTTTGGGAAAGTACCGTGGATATCCCATGGCTTCCCAACGCCGGCTATTGGGTTGTCACATCACACCCCATGTTGTGTATGGTTACTTTGCCCTATTCTCTGATGCTTTAGCAACAAAAATTTCTATTTTCAAAGTAAAGATGGTGAAGGGGGGAAAAACAAACAAACAAACACCAAAAAAAAAAAAAAGGAAAAAGGTTGCATTCTGTGCAAGTGAGAGTCCTGGCTAAAACTCACCAAAACTTCAGCCGTCTAAGCAGTGACTTGCCCCAGGAGAGGCTTTTGGTACTCTGCAAACTTATGTACAGGCCCTCGTCCCAAACTATGAGGAATAGTTCTGGCCTCGGGTCAGGATTTGTTCTTTGAGGCAAAGGGAGCTGACAGAAGTATTCTGGTCTGAAGTACGATGCCCTGAAAACCTTAATTTGTCTTTCCGTAGAGCAGTGAAATGTATGCTCAGCCCATATGAAGCTCTTGCTTTCACGACTACAGAAAACAAGTTTTGTTTGCAGACATGGATTTGCTGGCATGAAAGATGAAACAATTTATGCTAGTTTTTAAAACTTATTTCTGGATCACTTCCCTTGAGTGTTAAACTGCTGTCTATAACATGTTGGTTTAAAATCTGAACCTGAAGATCTGTGCCTTAATCTGTAAGGATTGCTGTCAATGGAACTTTATTTTCTGTGTTTTTATTTTTGACTACAACTATGTGGTATTTGGGGGAAAGACACTGAAGTGACTGAATTGTGAATACAATTCTGGCACTTCATTCTCTGATACTCCCCATTAATCTAGTAGGTGATTTTCTTTGCTTGTATTTATATGTAAATGGTAGCAACTTGAAGTTCAGATAATTACCCTTAATGATGCCAAAGAAGTTGCCATGTCATAAAAAATTTGGCTGTACCTCAGCTTAGTTTGTATTATGATGGCATAAGGAGTCGTCTTTATAAAATATTGCAATCCAGCCTGTTATTCCAATTGTTTTAAATTGCATTGCTAACTTGGCTGATTTGAAGGCAGAGTTGCTCTCTATTCTTGTGCCAATTTCCTGTTCAGAGTGCAATTTTTTTTCTATTTCAAGTTAAATTAGGTTTTACATAGCTATTGAATTTGGAGGAAAAAAATCAATATATGAAAGGGATGCAACAGAGAAAAAAGCAAACCACAGGATTATAAAGCTAGGTCTAGAGTGCCCCGATTTATGGCTCATGGGCAACATGTTGCCTGGGAAACTGTGCAGGTCACAGGACGCTTGCCCTCACTATAGATTAGCGAACTCAAAGCATGGTGCTGCCACTCACTATTTGCTTGGTGCGCTTGCTCATGGGCCACCCAACATCAGAGAGCACTGGCCTGACCTAGTCAGTTGAAGGACATTTAAATGTTTCTCAGTCTCTCAAGATAAAATACACTTTCTGCAATGACAATCTAAAAGCACAACATGAGGCTGATCCAAAAATATTTTTATTATGTCCTGGGTTTGATGTCTGGCCACCTCTCTGATCTGGCACATGCATGTATCGCAGGTTGTTCTGCATCACACTGTCTTTCGGGTGACAGGGACAAGCATTTTGCAATGTGATCTGTCAGTTGGAAACATTCTCTTCTAGTCGGATACAAACATCCATCACTAGTTCAAGCCTGGGCTCTGCAGATGAAAATTCAGTGGCTCAGGCTGATGACAACTTAAAAAATCTCCACCTGGAACTCACTGAGACCTGTCTGGATATGATGGCTCGATACGTCTTTTCAAACTTCACTGCGGTGCCTAAGAGGTAAGGGGTCAGTCGGTGACCATGGGAGAGATGTTTTTGTTTGAGGTTCATATTTCACTTTATTAGTGGAAAGTTACCGTGACCTATTTGAGATTCTGGCAGGCCCAGGCTCTGAAGCCATTCCTTGCAGATAAAATCTGGTTTGGCTAAATACATTAGATGAGAGAAGGCCATTGGAGCCAAACAGCCTTTGCCTCAGCCTTGAACTGTCCAGAAGGAGATGCCTTGAAGGCATGCTGTCTGTGAGCAGTGCTTTGCTCCATGTCCTTGCTGGATGATCGCAGTCTTCACTACAGAACTGAGTGTTGTGCCAGCTGGCTTCAAATGGAGGGCATTTACTCTTCTTGCTAGCCCTTCCCAGAAGGAGACACATAGCTCAGACAAGGCTCGTTCCCTTCTGCTCTGTGATGTGTGTCCAGGATTGAACTGGACTGCTCTGTAATGTCTGTCCGGTAGCGCTACTACCAATTGATATTAAATTCAGCTCATCCCTTATGCTGTTGGATAATGTGTATGTTGATGACCGGGGGGGTATGTTAAAAATGCTGTATAAAGAAGGAAAGCAGGCAGTACCTCCGACGCAGTTACATGAAATAAGCCACCTGTGTAGGCTCTGTGCTCGGCAGCCTGAGAGCTGCATTCATCACAAGTGTGTTTCTAGGTCTCCTGTGGGTGAGTTTCTGTTGGCTGGAGGAAGGACAAAGACGTGGCTGGTTGGTAACAAGCTGGTGACCATCACTACAAGCGTTGGAACAGGGACAAGGTCCCTGCTTGGCCTAGACTCTGGAGATCTCCAAAGCAGCACAGAATCAAGGTAAATTTTGCTCCCATTTCTAGAAATTTCCACCTAACAGAGTCACTTAAACCACTGTTACAGTGCATCTTTTTAGGTTTTCCACTTACCAGAAGAGGAATGTCTCATTTGTCCAGCATGACTGATTCCTCTCTTCAATATCGTCTTTTTTTTTTTTTTGCCACAGCTCAGACCCTGTTTTGCAAGTGAGACAAACTAAAGAAGCTCCAGCAAAACTGGAATCTCAAGCTGGGCAGCAGGTTTGCAGAAGCTCTCGCAACAGAGTCCGATCCATGTCTGGTAAATTCCTATCCTGGAGTCTTACTGGCATTTCTGGGTCCGTGTCACAGTCTTAAGTGTCCAAGTGCCGACCGAAGAGACCTCTGTCTAAACTAATTTGAGAACGTGGACCTGTCTGGTATTTAATAGTGGGCAGGTGGCAGCAGCTGTTGGCCTCAGGAGTGGTGGTGCTCCTCCTGCTTGGCTCTCCGTGCAGGAAAGCTTTGGTGATTGGTTAAGTGGTGAGCACTTGCAGTGAGAATCTCACCTATGTTTATCTAACCTCGTGGTTTATAAGAAACGCATTGAAGGTAAAGTTCTCTTACGTTCCCAATATTGTGAGCGCAGCTGCTAGAGAAGCTTAAAAGACTTATTGTTTCTGAGATGTTTTTAGTGCTAACTAAGCATGGCTCTCCCTTCTATTTTGTGTCTGTTGTGCTAGGTGGTCATGCCTTACGTGTTGGTGCCTTAGACAGCTCAGCCTCCCATTTCCCCAGTGGCTCGGCTTCCCAAGGGACACAGAGTCCTCCTGCTCCTGCATCTCGATCAGAGAAGACTAATCCTGCTCCACAGACACCTCTGCAGAAAGAAAAAGCAAACTTAGCTGCGTATGTCCCGCTGCTGACACAGGGATGGGCAGAAATCCTAGTGCGCAGACCCACAGGTATCTTTACCTGAATGTGGAGTGAGCTCTTTTGACTTGCTAAGAAACCAGAGCCTGGATGAAGAAGAAAAATCCATATTTAGTTGCAAATGGATCTCTTTATTGCTTACTGCCTCTTGAAACTAATACATCTGATTCTTGATTCCTTGAAATCATTCTTTAGTGTCTTAAATCTGCAAAAGACCTGTGAAAAGATTGAAGCAAGGACTTATATTTGTACGTTAAGTACTGTTACAGAAATAGAGCCAGATAATATCAATCCTACTTTGCAGTTCCCATTTTTACACTGCTCTGTGGTCTTTCTTGAAAATCTGCCTGTGCTGTGTTTTAGCTTTCCATGCTAGATTTGAGATGAATGAGGCTTATGGCTAGAGCAGCTGCATAGTTGTGTCTGCTGTTAGGGAAGGAGTAATGACATGTTCAAGGTCAAAATTCTTGAATACTGGTATGTTACACAACATTAACAGGGAATTGTCTATTTCAGCTGAAAGTTGCTTCATGAGAAAATAACTGACCTGGTATGGTTAATTGAAATACCTGAGTGTTTTGGATGCCTTTTGGGAATCTGCTGTAGTAATGAGTTACCAAGGATGGTTTTTGAAGAGCTTGGGGTGAAGTACAGAGCACTGGGAGCTACTTACTGAAAATAGGAAATTAATCAAGTGATTCTGCCAGATGTCAGGAGAACTGAGAACTTGGTCCGTTTTGATTTTTACTTGCAAAATCCAAAACAATTTGTGCTTTTTTTGATGTGAGTTGTAAACTTTCTGGAGTTGGGAGTACTTAATACTCTTCCCTAATTTTCTCTTACCAGGTAACACAAGCTGGCTAATGAGTCTGGAGAACCCGCTCAGTCCATTTTCTTCAGATATTAACAATATGCCCCTGCAAGAGCTCTCTAATGCACTCATGGCTGCAGAGCGTTTTAAAGAACACCGAGAAACGGCTCTGTATAAATCCCTCTCTGTCCCCTCCTCCAGCTTGGCCACTGGGACAGCCAAACCATCGCTTCTCCAGCGTTCCAACACAGGTGAGAGATGTCAAGCCAGTAGCGTGTCCAGCATAGCTGTCACTAGCCTGTTTAAAGTCTGTTGAAGTTACTGCAGGTCTTCTAGAACAGTAAAGTTAGCATAGCAATGAGAAGGGGAATCAGTTCTTATCCCTAGAATTTTTCAGTGAAAAATTCCCTTCCTCCTTGCTTCTGATGTTCCATCGGAAAAGTACCTCTCTTTCTTAAAGAGAAGAAAGAGAGGAGTAATGTGTTTCATGCTGTTTCCCAAATGAAAATGAACAAAGTTATGGATCTTTTCCATCTTCCGCTTGTTTAGGGCTGATCTGGGCACCCCACATGCGGATGGATCTTCCCATGCAGCGTTTCCATTTCCATTTGTCTTCAGTATGGGAGTTTGTGTTGGGCACTAAGAGCACTAGGTTCCTGGGAGAGTGGCCTGTTACAAACCTTGCCAGCCAGGGTCAGTTAGTTGCCACTGTCTTTTACAGCATGAGATAGCAGAATGCAAATCCTGTTGGCTGCGGATTTATTCACCTCTTAAAAGGACTTTAGGCTTCAGACTGGTGCAGCTGAATCACTTGAGTTTCTTTCGATGGCTTTATTTTATCATAGTGGCCAGGGCTTTTCACTGTCTTTACTTTGGTGCTAGTTCACTTCTGAAAGAGCTGTTAATGGTGGGAGGATAATGTTGACCAACAGCTGAAATTTTTAAAGCTTTATGTAATCCCTGCTCAGAGTTCTTATGAACAACGTCTAACAGTGAGGCTCTCAGCAGTGCTAGCACTATCAAAACTGAGCAGTGGTAAGAGCAGACAAGGCTTTTCTGGGGAGGTGGCAGCAATGGTATGGATTGTTTGGAAATCTGGTAAAAATGCTAGTTTTCAGGTTTGTTTTAAACAGGGCAGGATATGATTTTAGGATTTCAGAATGTGTAAACACAAAATTAGAGTCAAAATCAAATTATCACCTTTTAAAAAAAATATACTAAATTTTTATCCGTGAACACTTTTATTGACTCCTACGAATTTGTGGCATGTAGGTGTGAACTGATTAGTTGAAAGAAGCACCCACCTGAATGCCACTCCTGTGGCAGTCTCAGAAAATAATTTTGGCCACATTCTTGTTAACACAACTTCTACAGTAGACTTGCCGGAGCTGGCTGGCGAATGAATGTTCTGAAGAAGTTTTGCTGTCAGACTGTCATATGCATGTTGTTCTTCCTCTTTAGAGGTTAAACCGTGTGAATCTTTATTCATATTTCTACTCTTCAGACTCTTCTGTTGGTTTAAAAATTATCTTTTGCCAATGTGTGTAGCTCAGGAAAAGCTCAGACTGGTTTCCTGCGTGTGCTAGGATATCGCTAAGGAATTTTCTGTTTCTAAAAATCACAAAGATGCATTCTTCGAAGAGAACAGTTCGAGTCTGCATTGTTTGAGTGTGTTTATGCCTCCTTATTCATGTTGAGACCTTGTACCCTTAAAGTATCCCTTTGGCATCTAGTGAGCTTATCCCAGCTTGTTCTTTCCTTTGTTTTTATTTATTTATTTATTTATTTTAAAATAGGCTCTTGGTTACATTTTAAACTCTGTGCTTTTTAATTTTTTTTTTTTTCATATAGTCTCTCCTTCCTTTTGATGTAGCTGCTCACTTGATTTCCCTTTGCAGTGGCCTCTTTCTCTTCCATGTACCAGTCCAGTTGTCAAGGGAAGTTGCACAGGAGCATATCCTGGGCAGGTATATTTATATATCTTTAAGGAAAAAAAAAAAAAGTATTGCCATAGAAGAACACCTCTGATTCATAGAAAATGTATCCCTCATACTTCATTTTCCCCTTCCATGTCTCCTGTCTGTACCCAGTCTCATTACTCTCAACAAATGGGATCTTGACTAGCATGAAGAAGTCCAAGCCAGATCCAACATTTGCAAGTGCAGGAAATTTCTTAAAGCAACTTTTGTTTTAGCTGGGGTGGACTGCGAGTCATGAGGCACAGTGTTAAATGACCTGTCCACATGTCTGAGTGGCTTGATTAATTGAATTATTTATTTTCAGCTTCATTTTACAATTGGCTTTGTGTTCTGCTAAATGTAAAAGCTCCCACTTCTGAGAATGGCATAGTATGCTACAGGACAAGCTACCCTGAAATGAAGTCCTATGCTACTCAGCCCACAGGAATCTGTCAGAATTGGACACCGAAAAGATAAAAGGAGCTGAGATATATATAGAGATATATATATATATTAAAAAAAAGTTTGGCATTACAACGGATGCTGGTTAAAAGTTTTTTAAATAAAAAAAGAAGAAATATATTTCAGGGGAAAACCTGCTAAATTCTAGCTTTTGGGGGGCTCTATAGTAGTGTAAAATCTTTCTCCGCTTCAGTAAAATTGACTTCATAATTAAATGAAGTGGAGATCAAATCACGTACCTTATGAGCACAACACCTGCATTGCTTTGATAATCTGCAATGCTTTGTGATTTTAATTAGAGGGTTGAAATGTCTTTCTGCCTTCTTTCCTTCACTGGAAAATTCTCTGTAGAGCAGCAGGGTATTCTCAGCTGCTGGTTGTTGTTGACACAGGCCTCTTAAAGCAACACAAAGATGCTGCAGTAAAGTATTTTTCTGTACTTTTCCTCTCTGCTCATATTGTTCTCTTCCCACCTAAAGAATAATTAGCGAGTGCTTGCGTTACTTAAAAACACCAGCAATCTTGGCAGTAGTTTAAGAGCTAGGGAAGCTTGGAAACACTGGATATATGCAGGTGTGTTCTGGCTTGGACAGCTAACCAGATCAGCACGTTGTTTGGGGTTTTTTGGTTTGTTTTGGTTGTTTTTTGTTTTTTTTTAGAAGGTACGTGTGTGCAATGCTAACTCTTAATTGCTTCTTTGAAATAACTTTGGTCCTGCGAGCTGAAATCAATCCAGGAAAAGCTGCTTTAGTGATACTTTTTTTCTTTTCTTTTTTTTAATTTTGCTGATTTTCTTTATTTTTTGTGTGTGCTAATTTTTTTTTTTTTTTTTTACTTTGGAAAACAAATCTTGGCCTTTCAGATTGGTCTTCCAGTCCCTTGTGTGCGTAATGGGAAGCCTCCTGTTCTCCAGCCTTTTCCTCAGGACAAAAAAGCAAGGCCAAGAGGAGCCTTTGGTCAGACTCATCCCTGTGGTCAGGGTCGCTGCCTGGAGTAGAGACAACGTTAAATGCTGGGATAACCTCCTCCACCGTAGGCAGGGCTTCCAGGGAGCTTTCTTTGTCAGTGTGGTTTCATTAACCATTTGTCTATCAGATGCCACATGCAGGTTTCCCAGTATTGCTGCAGTGCATGTATTACTCTTGCTCTCTTGTCCTTTCATATGTCTAGGGCTGAATGGTTTTGCTTCTACTGAGACATACTAGGAAAACTGCCAAACTGCAAGTGAATGGCTCCTAGTAAAATTTCTTATCTCCTTCTAGGCCACTACAAGGCACAGGAGCATTGCATTTCAATACAAGAAAAACTTACTTTTTTGCACACTTGCATAGAACTGATGTCTTCATTGCCTGGATAATGATGAACTTTCAATGCTAGTCTTGTACTCTCTTACATCTCTGTAGTTCCTGTCTGTCCTGATAACCGAACATTGATGTACAAGGTCCCATTTCCTCATTCTGTCCCCTGCTTGTTCATCAGTAACAATTGGAAACAACTGCACTTATTTTGACCAAAGCAGACGCAGCCCTTTGCTGTGAGGGTAAGGTGATCAGTTATTCTATACAAAAGGGGAACCAGGAGCAAGTCTGACATGACAAGAAATCAAAGAACCAGAGCACTCATTCAATATGGCCTTCCATTGAAATCCCATAGGGAAAAGGCTGGTACTTCAGAGGAGAGGATGGGGGCCTGCCGGTCTGTGCCTCTCTACAGACTTCAGTTCTTCTGCCTTGTGTCTCGATAGAATCAGCGGTGGTGCTGGAGGAGGGGAGCCCGTCGGAAATGGAGCTAAAGGAAACTGAGTCCCCAGCTGAGTCTCCAGAGAGCGAGGACATTGAGACTTCATGTTCTGAACAAGTCCTGAGCGAGGAAAGGTTTGGTAAACCCCAGGAGTCTTATAGCAGGGTAAGAAGAAACAGGTTAACCAGTTCTGTCCTGTATGACAGCCCTTCAGACATCTGGGAGAACTGTCTGTGCTCAGATGAGTCCCTCTTGGCACCCTCTGAAAGAACTCACTAATGATGCCAAAATGCACATGCAGTCACGATTGAGAGTTTGGATGGCTTGTGAGGGACTGCATGCAGGGCAGCAGGAGTAAATACCTGTTTTATGCAGGGTCCTCGATCCGCATTGCTTTGTACTTGGCACCTCTCTGCTCGTCTTTCACTGGAAGTGTCAGGGGGTGCCTCGAGCGTTACTGTTGTCAGCTTTTATTTTGCGTATCAGGAAAACTGTTCATCTTTGTTTCTCCCTCTTTAAGTCCTCCTCAACCTCCAGCCAAGAAGAAAAATCTCTGAAGTCGGAAGACCTGGTGGAGGGTGGAATTCCCATCGGGAGAGTCCTGCCGTCAGAGGACGGCCGAACGCTGGAGGAGCTTTCCTTCCAGCCATCCCAGCCGCTCAGCAAGTCGAGTTCTTCCCCCGAGCTACAGACACTGCAGGAGGTCCTCAAAGATGCAAATGGCAGAGAAGTAACAAGGAGGCTGAGCACAGAAGTGAAATCAAAATCCCAGTCTGGGAACCTGGAAGGGGAAGGGCTGGGCAGTTGGCTGGGCAAGGGGGAGGACGCCAGAGTGACTGGGTCAGGCGGGTTGGATGGCACCGGTCCTGTCACCTCGCCTCGCTCCCCCTCTGGGCACCGGCCCCGAGGATACACCATCTCTGATTCAGCCCCATCAAGGAGGGGAAAAAGGATCGAGAGAGATGCCTTCAAGAGCAGAACAGCAGCCTCCAATGCTGAGAAAGTACCCGGAATAAACCCAAGGTGGGTGGAGGGGCTTATCTGAAGCTAGAAACGGTGAGCTCAGACTTGCAGCCATGGCTGGATTCGTTCGAAGTGGTCTGCTGGGTTTGTGGGATCTACAACACAGTATCTGATTAAAAAGAAAGATTAATTACCTGTTTTTTCAGGAGCTAATACAGACATATTGAACCCACTACCACCAAATTAACTTTGTGATTTAGGAAACAGGTCTCTTAAATGGTGAAAGAAATAGATAAGCAGTTTCCTCATGTTCTTAATCCATCCCAGTTTAGGGTCCAAATGCACGTGTGGCTTGAGTGCAGGTCACCTAGAGTTAATTTTGCTGTGAACAGGATGAATTACTAGTCTTGCAGTTCAAGAAATATGTGCAAAATACTAAGAAGAAGGAAAAGTGGTCATAATAGTTGCTTTTTGAACTTTAGATATTGGTAGTTGCCCAAAATTGCATTATGAGACAATCTTCATCTTATTGAGGGCAGGTAAAATGCAAACGTCTGTAAAATCATTTATCTGCCTGCCTAGAAATACCCCCCATATCTGTGAGGCAGGGGTGCATTCCTACTCCTCCGTTCTGTGTAAAGATTGCCTTTTGAACAGGGAATTTGTGCAGCTGCCGCTGTTTGACATAACCATTGTTTTTTATGACAGGGGTCTATTACAAACTGCAGGTAGTCCAGGCACTTAAAGTGTCTCTAGAAGATGAGTAATACTCTGTTAGCATTTTAATTGCTCCTCTTTTTCTTCTGTACATAACGTTCTTGCATACAACAGATCAAAATTGACTTAATTTTTATGGTAACAGGACTTTTTCCCCCTCTCTCCCTTAGCTTTGTGTTTTTACAGTTGTACCACTCCCCATTCTTTGGCGATGAAAACAACAAGCCCCTTTTGTTGCCAAATGAGGTAGGCAAGGATTTTTTTTTTTTAATTCTTGTGGTTAATTTTTCTGACCTCATTACTTTTTTGGAACGTAAATGATAGTAATGAATTTCCAGCTCAGATGGTGTGATTTAAAGGTGATTCCTCCCAACAGTGCTACAGATGGGAGATTTTCTGTACCCCAATCCTGGTGGCTCCCGCTTTATGGCTCTGGATTGAATTTGAGATATTGGGAGATCTTGCTGGTGCTGTTTCAAAATCCTAGTCAGAAGGCAGGGTCATTTGTGGAGTTTTGATTTTTGCTGGTAGGAGGAGTGCAGGATGAAAACTGAGCATTAGGTGATATTGGCAGAAGGTCACTAGACAAACCTGTCAGCCCTCCGTATAATTGGGAGTGGCCAAGAAGCTTTCTGTGGTCATATGAGAAATTAGTCATAAACTTCCTGGAGAAGTAGTGCTGGAATGGGGTTCTTGTGAACTGAGCACCGCAGACCTCCTGCTGATAGTTTCCCCTCACTTTGGGCTCGGGTGGTCAGGCAGTAGGGAGCCTAAGTGAGATGAGGTGATGCCTTGTGCTAAAAATGTTCTTCAGAGCAAGAGACGTGATAATTTTTCATGCCTGGAGCTTAAATGAAGGTACGATGTAATTTGTCATGGCAAGTGCATCTGACCCGTGCAGTTTGCCAGATTAATCTCATCTGAAGTATAAAACCAAGAAGTGTGGTGACAGATGCCATATAGCACCGCTCTGTGCCTTGGCCTGATGATGCACCGTGCCCTTGCAGAGCAGAGTAGGGCAGCATTCATCAAGGAAGACACTAGTGAAGGTCAGGAATCTGTGCTGTCACTGTCCTGAGGGGGTTTTAGGGAGGACAGCGGGTGTGTGGAGATAAGTTTTTAAAGATGCGACCAATGTTTTGATTGTAGACTTTTGAAAGATCGGTGCAGCTCCTGGATCAAATTCCTTCTTACGACACACACAAGATTGCAGTGCTCTACGTTGGAGAAGGCCAGGTGAGTTGTGTGCAGATGCATCAATCCTTTAATGGTTACATCTCAACAGAAGGCCGGGCACCGCTACTCCAGTTGTGAGATTTGTCCTGCTCCTGCAGTAGCCTTGCTTTTCCTTAGTTTCTTGCACTAAAAATCAGTGCCTGCATGAAGCCCTTCTAGGAAGGTAATAACCTAATCACTCATGCTGATTGAGTGCTCTTAGCGTTCGGTGCGGGACTCCTATGTTCTTATTTCCTAGAGCAACAATGAAATTGCAATTCTGTCAAATGAACACGGATCCTATCGCTATACAGAGTTCCTGACTGGGTTAGGGAAGCTCATTGAGCTCAAAGACTGTCAGCCAGATAAAATTTACCTTGGTGGCCTGGACGTGTGTGGGGATGATGGACAGTTTACCTACTGTTGGCACGATGACATTATGCAAGGTAAGGTGGCTCCAGAAGTTGGAAGTGGGAGGATGGTCTCTTCTCATCTTAAGACTGACCTGCCTTCTACAAAGTGTTTCCTTTCCAGGGATGTAGTAAAGATGACCTGGGGCTCTGTTCTCCTCCCATTTCCTCTCTGGTATCTCTGCAAGCCATGTGTTGAAGTTTGGGAGAGGTGCATACCTGCCTTATTTAAGAAAAAAAAAAATCCCACCACTTTTAAAATGGTCTGCTCTATTAAAGGTTGATATGGTTTGGTGTAGAGGTTTGTAGAATGAGGTGTTTGTTCTTGAGCTGATGAGAAGGCTGTTAATTGAGGGTAGTGTGTACATGTCAAAACTCTGCTAATCGTTCCTCTGAAGAACGGTATTGAAAGCAGGAGGGTTGTCATTGCTGTGGTCATTGCTAACTGAACTGCAGCGTTACCCAGCTCCTGCAGCGCCAAGCAGTGCAGGTATCATCCAGGATCCAACAAGCTACCATGAACTTCCCAAATTTTTTCGTACAGCTCTGTGCATCCCAGTCATCATACTTAGTCCGGTTCAGTGGAGCAGCTGCAGGTTACTCGGTGGCCCTGGTGCTCTTCAGAGCTCAATTAGGGGAAGTCCTGGTTTAAGCTATTTAACTCTTCCTCCTCAAACCAGATTCTACTCGCCATGCTGCTGTGGTCATGCAAAAAATACCCAGAAGCACTTCTGCAGTCCCCCGTTCATTTTCTGTGAACAGATAGATAGCTACCACCACTTACTTTTAAAATGGTCTGCTCTATTAAAGGTTAATATGGTTTGGTGTAGAGGTTTGTAGGATAAGGTGTTTGTTCTTGAGCTGCTATGAAGCCTGTTAATTGAGGGTAGGGTGTACATGTCAAAACTCTGCTAATCGTTTCTCTGAAGAACGGTATTGAAAGCAGGAGGGTTGTCATCGCTTGATGAGAACGCTTCTTCCAGCGTGCATCAGGCGCATGCTGAAAGCCAGGCCCTTAATTCACTTTGCTGAGCCCGGTGCTAGAGAAGGCTGGGCAGGGCAGTACCTAAAAACTGGCAAGAGCAGAGCTTTCAGAGGCTGCCTTTTTGCTGGCTGCTGCACTCCAGGCGCCATTGGAGCAATCCAGTGGGACTGGATTCAGCTGTCACAAACGGGGACAAACCTATCGAGGGAGCACAACTTATATATTTTTTTTATTATTGTGGTGCTGGTGCTACTTTGTCTTCCAGACGAGTGCTGCCCGTTGACCATTGCTGCTTGCAGCACTGCTTTCCCAGGCCAGCCTAAGGATTTTTCTGTTTCCTCTTCAGCCATTTTCCACATTGCTACTCTGATGCCCACAAAGGATGTGGATAAAAATCGCTGTGACAAGAAAAGGCACCTTGGGAATGATTTTGTTTCTATCGTTTACAATGATTCTGGAGAAGACTTTAAACTAGGAACAATAAAGGTACGAGAGTTTACTTGCGGGTGTGTTACAAAACAGGCATGTGGCTGTCTGTAAAACCTTGCTCTGATGTGTGTTATCTTAGCAAACAGCACTGAGATCACGCGTGGAGGTTATTTGCCTTGGTGGGTTCACATGTGTTCGTTTATGGCATTCACACGAATCACGATGGCTGCCAGTAAAATGTATATGAGTATTTTATTGTTTTCTCATCAGGGTCAGTTCAATTTTGTGCACGTCATCATCACACCACTTGACTATGACTGTAACCTGGTGACGCTGCAGTGTCGGAAAGGTAGGAATCCCTCCAGCCTTTGTTCTCAGTCTTTCCTGTACTGAGGTACAATAACTGCCTGCACTTTTCAGTGCTTTCGTGTTTCAAAAGTAAAAACTTCCAGGAGAAACTCTCTGAAACCAATTTGCTGCCTAGTTATGTCTGGGTGTGTCCTGTTCATATATCTTCCCCAAGATAAGAGGTATCTTGAAGTTGTACCACTCATACTATCGTCAAGCTTAAGACAAAAGTGCCAGCAGAGTAGAGCAGGTCCCTCCGACAATTGCTTGGGAATGCGGGAGGAGATACGAGGTGGAGGTCCCTGTGGCTTTGGCCTCTGCTGTCCTTCCCAGCACTGCAGGACCCGATACTCGGAAGCTGGTCACGGCTCTGTGCCAGTTCGGCAGTGCTGGTGCGGTGATCTGCAGGGGCGTCTGCCTTCCTCTTAGCAAAGGGGCACTTCTGGGGTGTTTTTCGCTCACACTTTGGTTCATGTGATAAAGGGCCCAGCAGGCTCTCCTCAAACTTTTACGGAGCAGCCAGGATTTGAGAGCCGGTTGTGTTAAGTTGCAGTGCAAGTTCTGTTACAGTTGGAGCTGTAGAGCTCGATGGGGACTTCTGAGATTCTGTGATGCAATTGCTCAGGTTTATATTACTTACCTATTTAGTCACTGGCAACCTTTGGCTTGTTCTTAACTGTCTTACAAGAATTTTTTTCTTCTTCCTTTAAAATGAAGACATGGAGGGTCTCGTAGACACAAGTGTCGCTAAGATCATCTCTGATAAGAACCTGCCATTTGTAGCCCGTCAGATGGCCTTGCACGCTAACGTGAGTACCCCTGAGCTCCCTGAGACCTTCTGTCTTTCAGCTGGTGTCTTGGTCCATCACCAGCTTCCAAGGAAATGAGTAGGGCTTGCTAAAGCAAATGAGTTTTCTGCTTCCATTATTGCCGTCAGCCTTTAAGTCAGAGTTAGCACGTGAACAGTTGTAACTCAGAGCTGTATTTCAGTTGCTGTCAAACTGTACTGAAACGCTCTATGGATTTTATTGTCGTCGTTATGTTAATGTGCCT